AAATGTACGAGAAAATAAAATAAACTATATTCTGAATATATACTGAACTTAAACACCTGTAATAAAATATGAACTAAAGAAGGTTTCTATTAATGATACAATGGTTTCAATGACACAAAACATAAGTTACAGAGTGTCGTAATTTTGTGGTATTTTACGGGATATTTTCATTCTACCTTATTAGGAAATGCGAATTCCAAATATGGAATGATTACGCACGTAAGCATCCTCCAATAATAAACCGTATTCCACACACTTTTATTGATTTCGGCATTCCCAAGATGTATCCTTGGAAGAAAAAGATGTATAATAATAAGGTTATTGCGAGGATACCTCAAAGTATGCACTCAGACAGTACACTGCGCATTGACCTCCGCTGCACGTCGGTCGATACTCCAGCTGTACTGTCTTTGTGCACACTTTGAGGTATTCTCGTAATAGCCTTATATTACTGTAAAATCTGTATTAAAAGACGCAACTTCTATTAAAATAGTACAATGAACAGAGGGGATATCAGGTGAATTTTTGGTTCTTCTATTAGGGATGCAGCTTCTAATAGAGATAACATGAACATGAAACGCTAGATTCAATGACATAAAACACAAGTTTTGCTAACAATAGCGTTATATTAGCACAAAACGCATGTTGCAGTGTTAGAATAAGCTCTACCAGAAGCTATCGAATATTATCTAGCAAATATTGAATAAATAATAGTAATTCAGTGTAGGAAAGTAAGTACACTGTTAGAAGCCTGCAGCCACTGCCTGCACACTGGTACGAATCCTTATCAAGTTATTGAAACTTTGTGGACAATGTATGGATGCATGATTGAACATTTGACATGCCTGCATGCTTATCGCTTGTAGAAATGACAAATAATTAATCTCAAAATCTGTCAAAAATTTATTATTTTAGTATTAGTTAACAGTAAGTGGACTTTTTCTGTTCACTGACCATCTTTTTTTTTTTTGAAGAGAAAACTTAGACGGGCCTCGTCGCCGCATTTTGTTGCTTTATATGATAATTCCTACAGAACAAGTTTGTAGAACCTCTCGTGTTGACGCAAAATTACCACGACTGGTCTGTTCTGCCACGCCCTTTATAGTTGTCACCATATTTTTGAGGTGATAAATATGCTAATTGTAGCATGAATTGTAAGCTGCCAACCAATAAGAAAGACAGCTTTTGGTTCTGACGCATAAAATATTTTGTGCAAACACGCACCTACTTTCCTCTTTCCACTCCCAGGTTCTATAACGTCATTGCATATCATGAATATCAATGGATATGCTGCACAATCGACCAGGTGTGGTAATTTCATGTTAGCCACAATTTAAAAAAAAAAATTCATAAACTGTCAAATAACAGTTTATGGCAGCAAATTACAAAAGCCATAATGAAAAATATATTTCATTACAAATAATTAATCTCAGAATTTGTCAATAATTTATTATTTTAGTACTACTAATAATTAACAGTATGTGGACCTTTTCTGTTCACTGACAATCTGTATTTTTAGAAAAAACTGTCAAATGATTTATAGCAGCAAATTACATAAGCCATAATGACAAACATATTTCCTCATAAACCCTTATTCAAAGTGACATCAATTTGACAATACTTCTCGACATCAACAAGTATCTTGTGAGCTACTATATCACTTTTTTCATCTTATGTCACAGAGCAAACACTTGATGTACCGGGGTAGATGAATTTTTAGTACTAAAAAAACTGACTTTAATATTGTCATCCTGAATATAATATACAGCAATGTGTAAAGTTTGAACATGGTCGATTCTGGGCAGCATTCATTGAAATAAAACGGCCACCAGTCAGCCACTTTGGATCCAATTGATCTGACAAAGTACATCAGGTTTAACACTGTCCATGTTACTGAGGACCAAATTTGAATGAATACTAAAATGGCTAATATTCAACATAATTTAATTTTAAAGAACATTCTACATTAAAACTGAAATAAATGCATTAGATGTAAATGAAGGGAAAACAATGATTGAATCAGCAGAAACTTAAGGGGCCTTGGTTTACATACTGATCAACATATTTTAAAACAAGTTTTACGAATTATAGTTTATTATGTCTTCTGAAACCCACCAAAACAAAAGTCTAATCTAAGTAAATAAATATTTCAATTGTTGGTTAAAATGTATAATCAAATTTATTTGTAATGACTTAATTAATTTGTTTTTCAAATTAAATTTTTGTTGAAAGTCGAAGAATAATTTATCGCGAAGTTTATCATCTGCAAACCATTTAAAACAATTAAAGTTTTTTAAAAAAAATCGAAAGTTATTTTTATTTGAAGATGGGTTTTTAACTCAAAAATAGAACAGAAAAGGTTAATTTACATAATTATGATAACAAGATTGGTAATAAAACAGGGTAAATCTTCAATTTAAATCTTTGTTCTCTAAAAAAAAATAACGAGCAGCCTCTCGGCTGAGATAGCTTCGCTGTTAGCAATGTACATTTCAATTAGAGAATTGAAGATATCATTAGAAAATGAACCAATCTGAGAAAGGTATACATGTAGTACCTATATATATAGTACCGTATCAAAGCAATCTGACATGCTGTTTCAACAAGAAGTTGAAAATATCACTTTTTATCGAAAATTTAAGATATCACAAAATGAGTGAATCTGAGAGGTCTACACCCAAGATGCATATAGTATCAAAGCAATCAAGCTTGTACTGGTAATTTTCAAGAAGAAGTTAATGCAGACATATGATAAGCTCCACCCGACAAAGTTGACAGTGGAGCTAAAAAGGGGAGCATTTAATGCATGATATGAAGATGTCAACAAAACAACAATCCTTATGTGACAACGAAACTTTTCACTAACTTGCACAATTTGTGAAAATTGTTTATTATGAAATAAAAGTGGTTACTGTCGCATGGGACCCATCTCAAATGCTCTGTAGTACAATAATGATGATAGGACCCAAGATATCAACATGGATATTGTAAACAATGGTGATCAAATGCCGGCTAAAATAAAAAGCTAACTGAAAACTAGCATAGATAAGCAATAAACACAGCAATTCAATGAACTGCACGGATCTGAAATTCACACAAACCAGATTTAAATTTAATATAAATCTCAGTGAACAGGAATAATCACATAATTATTGGAGATTGCCTTCATTTGTGGCTGTGATGTTGTCATGGTAACAGGTTAGTCATATTCTGAACCAATTGCAATACTCATTTCATCCCCTACAATCAGAGTAGAATGATACCATCTGTCGGTATCCAAGACAACTGAAAAATAAAAATAAATGAGATGAAATAATAACAATTTGTGGCATTTGGACAAACTCGCATCAAAGACAAATTATTGGTAGAACATGCTTGCTAAATATAACAAGATCTATTCAATTCTTTGTTATTAAGTCATTGGGACACCATATCACATACTTGGTGTAAACTACAGATACTCAGAAATTTACAAAAAATGTAAAACCAATCTTATGTACCCTTCCACCATCTCTCCAAATAATAACAAAAGATAAACAAAACTAATAATGTATATGCATGTTTGAAACACTAATTATGCATTGGTTAATTAAATTTGTTTTGATTCAGTGAAAATAAAATCTAGTGAAAATACTTTTATTTTACATTCAAACTCATGACAAATCTGTAAAAATAAACTTCATACAAAACAGCCAAAATGTCATTTCAGAAAAATTAATTCCAGCTAAAATAAAGTATTTTACAATATTGTGCCCATAGTCATACCATATCTCATTTTTATTCAATATTTGGCCTCCATGAATGAATGGTATCACATTGTGACAGAACAAATTTAACAATTTACAGTAATCTGCCAAATTATCAGACAAATCGATAGAGAAAAAAAAAAATCTCCCAAGACTACAAAGATTTAGGTCTATATAATACATAGATGTATCCATGGTAACTAGATATACTTACTAATCTCACCAGGTTCTACAATAATCTGAATGGAATCAATGCATTCAAAGTAGCACTCAGGTGGAGGCTGGATGGTCCACAGTTTGCGACCTTTGACCTGTGCCTGCCATGATGGGAAACCGACAGCATCAACCTGAAATACACATTAGCTAGTTGTATTAAAAATGCGTTTTCTTTAAACTTGTTAAGATCCCGAGACTGTGTTATATTTACAAAAGCAAATGTGCAAAATATTTCCATACACAGATAAAATTCTATAAGTCTTGTTGAATAATTATAAAACAGGTCACATGTGATATACTCACGTGCATGTGAGCTCCATAGCCAGGACTCCCCATAAAAATCCAATCTGTTTTACTTGACTCAGAATCACTCGGTATAAAATAAGGTTTGTCGTAATGTTTTCTCAAGGCATTGGCAGCAGACGATTCACAATTACTCCTGCATGAACAAAATTAATAAACACTCAATAAATTAAGATTAAACAAATAATCGATAAATAATTCAATATTGCCCTGGGTCCTGTGTTGGTTAAGTGCAGGTGGGGGGGGGGGCCCTACCTTGGCAATATGTCAGAGGTATGCCCTCAGTTTATATTTGCCCCTTAAACATTAAAAGTGCAAAAAAGGATATACCTCCAGTCATACATGTTTTGTAGTCACAGATATAGGTTGGCAAAACTGATAAACATTCTTAGTTGCAATACAGTTATTCATCACAGTTTTTAAAAATGTTAATTTTTTTCATCTTCCACTTGCTAAATACTTTTGATGTTTTGTTAGAATAACAGCAACTGTTAACTATATTAAGCAATTTTTTAGACAACTAAGGAGCATTCTTGACAATTTTTTAGACAACTAAGGAGCATTCTTGACAATTTTTTAGACAACTAAGGAGCATTCTTGACAATTTTTTAGACAACTAAGGAGCATTCTCGACAATTTTTTAGACAACTAAGGAGCATTCTCGACAATTTTTTAGACAACTAAGGAGCATTCTTGACAATTTAGATGTCTGCACCACTTTCAGATGATGAGAGTGAATATTTATGTTGGTGATTAAAATGCCCCAAAGATTTACAGCATATTTATCCTTTCTATAAATTGCTGTTCATCAGACTTCAAACTGAATTTGACAAAGTATTGCAAACGATACTTTTAAAAAAACAAATACAACAGAGTCTTGAGGTATTCATCATAGTAATATTATACTCAAGGTGTGTAATGGGTAATTTTTCGTGATAGTTTGTGAAAAATGTATGCCTTTGGATACATGATTATATAGTTACTTTTAATCTTGAAGAACATGTTCAATGATTTTTCTATAACTATTTTATATATGCATGTTGATTTTCAAGGATTATTTTCAGCTGAAGGTACACAAGACTGAATCAAAAAAAGCTTATACAATAAGAAATTCTGCACGCTGAAGGTTTACGCATGAAATGGATATAGGGAATATTTAAAAAATAATAAAAAATTTAAGATTAGCTTATTAAACAAGAATCCTGTTGGCTGTTATAGCTCTACTCTGCAAGATGCACAATGTGAAAGTAACCTAATCCGAGGTGTTTAAGTTGTTAATACTTAAAGAAGGATCTAAGGATATATTACAACAAAGAAATGAATTTATAAGCATTTAATAATTCATATTTCTGGAATCATTTTCACTCCTGCATGTTTCATTTGACATATTGCATTCTAACTATGTAGCATCATGCAGCTTTGCATGTCTCAACTTTTCAATTACTTTACGATACACCAAAGAGGTTTCTGCCTCAAAATATATAGGCATCACCACAAGATCAGCATCAAAGCATTATGGTATCAGTGTGGTACGTCTTATTGCAACCACACAAGTCCAGCTTTGTTTTTTGTCATTGAAACAAGTCTCGCACCTGTACATCTGCACATTAAGGAAGCTTTGAAATGCTTTCTTATTGCAATATCTGGCACGGAGAAATCATAAAGGTAAAACTATACATCAGTGTTGAAATTTGAATTATTATTTAGATTAGATAATTAATATGCGCAGACTTCAATCCTTAAATAAGTAGGTCACTGAAATTTGTTGAGTGGTTTTGGGTTTTTGAGATATCAGTGGACAAGCTTAACCTTATCATGCAAATTAGATATTTAATATTTTCAGTTTGAACCAAGAGCTATCCTCACATGTGGATTATACCAGAGCACTTATGTATCAGATTAGTTGAGAATATTCGTGGAACAGACATAGGTAAACAAAACAAACCTCACTTAGTCACAGTACTTATACATGTTTCTGTAACTTTTCAATGGATGTAAAATCCCTTGCACTTCAAAACATTCAACTGTAAGTAGCTGCCACTAATGATTTTTATTAAGATTAAATATGAAAATAAGCATAAACAGACCAATATGAGGTATATATCAGAGTAGATCTAGAAATTATAAGTTTTCAAAGTACTATAAAATTAATGAGTGGTGTATTTTGTATTATACAGAGTACATGTACCATAAATACATTATTGCGATTGGATGATACCCTATTTTTATGCAAGCATGCATGGTGTATGGTTAAACAGAGCATAAAGCACTGTTATTCATGAATCATTGTTCTCAGAATATTACCAAATATTTATACTAAATCTGTATCTTTCAAAAATTAGATTTAACTCTGTTTTGAAAATTAATTGAAATTGCATGATTGACATTATGATATAGACAGAAGAGTCACTTCACCATAATAGTCTGTCGTCTGCACTGGTTCGCTCACTGACGTCAACAAATTTGAAATGCTAATGCGTTGTAGTGGTGCATACAGTGCTGTTCAGCAAAGTTTCAACAAGGATTTATGATTTAAAACCGAACAAAACCAGCACTGGTTGGAGACAAGATAGCACACATTCAATTGCAGTAATGTCATTACCTAAATAAAACTTAAATTTTAATTTATTTTTCATGGTACAAATCCTATATGATATTTGCTTAAAGGTATTTAAGGTTTTATCGTTAAATTACCGACTGCATAGATTATAGAGATTTAGCAAAAGTAGAAATTAATAATTCATAAATATTATAGATCTACAAATCTTAACTTAGCCTGGAGTCAATTATATTTACAATGTGTATGTTCAGATAGCAACAGAAGAAAAACAGGATATACAACTACAAAAAAATTAAAATAAATGTGTGAACAGAAAAAATGTTGTCATTCAATTCATGCAATGTACATGTACCAAAGACCACCCTCCCAATATTTATACAGAGTAAAAATTAAGGTCTGTCCACCTGTCACTATTTCAGCTAGGACACGTAAATGTACAAACTATGTCCAAGGGAGAGCAAGGGGGGTAGCTGGTACAGTTTTACAGGAAATAAAATGGGCTTTTTACAATTTAC